TGGGGAACTTTAAACTTTCATTGACGGTTGTATGACTATTCAAAATATTTCCTTTGCAGTGTATGGCTTTGAGAAATTGTCCATACCTTGGAATTTGTTGAATATATTAGCCTAAAGTCATGCCAAGTATTTACTTAAATGATCGTTTTGATGGTTCCAGTAGTCACATTCCCTATTTAATCCTTTATAGGTGTGATTTGTGACTTCCATTTATTTTCATCTAAATGAATAATTTTAATCTAGCCTTATTTGAGTAATTTTATCCCATTTTATATTTGTTAATGTTTAATGTTAGGAAGGACTAATATTTTGAGAAATTTTGATATAATAATGACTTTTAAAAATAGATATTCCTTATGAAAAATATTAAACAGTTTTGGACATGATATGAAAGTAAACAGAAAATCTTTTCACTAAAAATGTCTGTTGGCTTACAATATTCAACAAGTCCTCCAACAGAGAGAGACAGATAAAAATATAAGGTAATGACTGGTTGGATAAATTGACAGATATTCTTTGTCTTATATGGCTGGTAGCATACATGCTATTTTAAAACTGAGTTATATTTAATTTTAATAAAATTAAATAAAAAAGAAAGTTAAACTGTATCAATAGTAATTTCTAAACTTTAGAAAAAATTTTTCACAGAAGATAATTTTGTAAAACATTTCCTTAAAACAGGGAAAATGAAGTGTAAAAAAATCATGATGAAATTGAAGATAAGATTTTTGCATAACAATATACTTTAATAACATCCACTAACCTCTTGCTGAGAAAGTTATCATAGCTAAAATCCTTCCTAGTTTCCCTCTTTTTACTTTCCCAACTTAGTGAGTTACTGGACAATGTCTACACATTGTTAAGGTTGAGAATATTAATGTTTTGTTCTAAAACCCTCAAACTGATAGATTTATTTTAAAATAGATAAGACAGCTATTAAAATGACATTTGACTAGAGCTCCAGCATTCATGAGATTAGTTTTGAGAATTCCATCGTGAAGTAGAATTTCGAGGAAATTCATATCTACTATATATTTATTATGATATCAAAAAATTGTTACCTTGAAAACCTGGAAAACAATCAAAATAGGGAAATCAGACAAGACTGGGTCACTCCACCCTATGTCACTATCTAATGCTGTGAAGAAATCTAAATAGGATTTTGCTTTTTTTTTCTTGCATGTAAATTGCTTTGTCTGCTTACATGTACTATTATTTGTCTCTTAAAGTTATGTACTATCATCAGAATATATTTTAGGGGTAGATATTTTCTATTGATTTTTTCCCCTAAAACAATTGTAATTTTTTTCTCCACTGCAGATTTAACATTCATTGTTTCAGGAAATTATCTTCTATATTTCTGTTATATCTCTGATTCCTCTTTTTATCTTCCATTTTATTTTTAAAGAGCAACAGTTGCAAAAAGTAACACCCTGGTAAATATATAGCCCAGTTTTAAGATGATTAACAGAATCCGCTGATTTATAATTTTGTCAATTCTTGTGGGGTTAATATTTCAACAAAGCCTGCTTTTCAGAGTTTCCAATGTGATGCTGCTGATGAAGGGGTTAGAAAAGCATCTACGTTCTATCAACTCCTGACAGATGGTGCAGGGATACATGTACTGGATCTCCTTTGTGTTTCATATAATTTTCCTGTAATAGGTTTACAGTTTTTGTTAGTAGTGCTGTAATTGTGTATCTATTGCTGTACACAGTTTTTGTCCTATTCTTTCATCATCTTAGTGCCTTCATAACTTCATATCCCTCCCAACGCTGCTCTTTTGTTTTTTATTTTGGTCTCTTTTAAGAGCTTATTTTCCTGTCTTTGTTATTGTTGTTTGTTTGCTTGATTTTGCATGTGTAAGTGAGTGCTCTACTACTGAGATACATCCACAGCCCTCTTTCAATTATTTTCAAATGTATTTTGAGAAAGTGTCACAATAAGTTGCCTAGATTGGCTTAAAAATTTGGGATCTTTTTGCTTCAAATTTTGGATCAGTCTCCAAAGTATCTGAGATTATAAGAATGTGCTGCTTTGTGTAGCAAAGTCTTATATTTTGTGGTGCTTTTTATAAAACATTTACATTATCTTTAATAATGTTATAGATTACATTATCTTTAATATCTTTGAAAATATAGAAAATATTTTCTAAATTTTTGTTCTGTTTCCTCAAGTAATTTTTTTTGGGGGGAATACAGAGGATTGAATTCACAATCTTGAGTTTGCCAAGCAGTCACTTATGCCACTGAGCTAAACCTCCAGCCCATAATTCTTCTTCTGATAGATATTCTACATACGTTTTTGTAGAAGGATAAAGAAAATCAGGGTAGTCTGGATTTTCTTGTGTGTTATCTTAAATATTACCCTCCATCAGCCTACTGACCTCATTACTCTTTAGATGTATATGTTTCACAACTTTTGCTGTTAGCTATGTGGGTTGAAATTAGTTTCTCAAGAAATAATTGACTAGTCAACAGTTATATTTTATTGAAAACATTCTACTAATTTACCATTTAGTAGTTATTTTCTCCTTAAAATTACAAATTACAGAAATATATTTTGACAGTAGAATATATATCATATCTTAAATGGTAGGGAATACATGCAAGTTCAATGAATCATAATTAAGCAAAAATATCTAAACCTAGATTCATTCTCAGTTGCTGATTACTATTTTCCAAGTTTTAAATCTCTGGGGAAATGACAGTTTACTATTTGTTGAAAAATAGTTTTTAATCCCTTTGACAAATCAGTAGAATACTACTTTTTGTACGCAAAACTGCTGTATTCAATAGATGTGTTAGTGTAGTGGACAAAGTAATGTGTTGCCCAGATCTCCCTTAAAGGAAAGAATCGTTATTTCAGCTGTAGGAACTCCTGCCAACAGAAGAGATAACTCCAGCTGTTATCTCTTTCAAGGACTGTCACAGTTTAAGCTTTCTGTCTCAATTCACGCCTGTTCCAGCAGCAGGTCACACTCAGTGACTGATTTGGAGGAGGAAAGGAGCTTACTGTCTCTAACTCACAGCAATTCTGAAGCCTCACCTTGGCCCTTGAGCTCCTTAGGGGCAACCTAGACTAACATTTGTCTGCACCACAGGTTGGCTTCTACTTCTGCCCAGACTTGTTTCTCGGATCTTCTACCCCCACTGCTGGTCTTGTGTCAGAACTCTGAACACAAAACTCACAGGAAATGACATCATACATAAAGCAAACCTTTAGAATGTTGGATAAAAGATACTATTATTCATCCACAGTTTTTGCACATTTCCAAAATCAATTTGATGCAGCTAACAAAAATAACCCCATTTAACCAGTAGAAACAACTGGGCAAACTTTTATGCATAAAGGGAAATTTATTGTGATTTAAAGTTCAATATTTCAAATCAAAAATTTAATTGACACCAGCCACTCATGAACTGCAGCTCAATGAAATATTTCCTGGTGTTTGCGTCTATAGGAGCAAAAACAGAAAATATTCAGAGAATCACGGGGTAGCAAAGTTGATGAGTGGGGAGTTAGACTAGGTGAGCACCTTTGTGAACTGAGATGGATTTAAAGACAGTTGGCTTAACTGGTGAAAGAAAATAAAGCATTAGAATATATCAAAACACATTTCTCTTTTATACTTAGTAATGTTTAGGGAGAAAAGTAATCTTCATTCATTGTATAGTTCCTGCTGTAGCTTCATGCAGCTACTGCATTGAAAATACTGAGTAAAGGGGCTGGGGATTTAGCTCACCGGCATAAGCACCTGCCTTGAAAGCAGGCAGTCGTGAGTTTGATCCCTGGTACCGATAAAAACGAAAAAAAGAAAGAAAAAGAAAATACTGAGTAAATGGAAAACAAGCAAAGGAGCGATAGTAAATACGGTTTCACTAACTAGAAATTTGTCTCAAGTTATGAAGGCACTAAGAGATAAAAACTTTTATTTCCTAATTTGTTATTCTTCTGTAGGATCAGATGCTATGCTACTTGCACTAGATCCTAAGGGTAGCTGGCGGATAGATAGAAGGATGTACAAAGGGACGCCTTCTTCATTTCAAAGGCTGAAACCTCATAGCTGGTTTTGTGGCTGCCTTTCTCTATCTTGTGGCCAGTAAATATTCTAAGCAATGCAGGCGTTTCCCGGCATTTTGGAGTGGAGAAGGTAAACGGGTACTTCGGCTGACCTAGAAAAACAATTTGCAAGCTTTAATTTGAAACATCACTCAAAAGCCTGGCAAAACGCCCTACACTCAATCTTAACTGGACAAACCCAGTCTTGTCATTACATATGCAATGAATTGGCTGTTTGATGCTCCTTCTTTTTGTCCCTGCTCAGAGAAGTCAGGGTGACTGGCAAGACAGACCGGTTCAGAGGAGCAAAGCGAGTTTGAAGGGTTCTGAGAACCCATGTAACCCGAGTCACCAAACTGTAGATCCGAAAGTAGCAGGTCTGGGCGGGTCTGTGCTGGTGGCCAGAGCTTGCTGTCCGGAGGTTTTTGCAGGAGTGGTTCAGCCACCTCTGGGACACCTTCACTGTAATCACCACTGCCATCCGAAAGCAGGCGGGGACTTCGGGGACCAGAAAACCATTGTTAGGTTTCTTGCTCCAAGGTTGCGGCCAGAGGTCACGGGTGGGGGTCTCCAAGGTCCTCCGGGGTGATCATAGCACCAGCAACACAGCTCGGTAGCGCCTGGGAAGTTGGCTTGCAGAAGCCCGTCCCAGCCGAGGGATTCTGAATTGGTGTTTCAATCCACAGTTTACGAAAGCTGAGGGGCAAGAGTCCGAGTAGTGGGGAAGCAGCTAGAGCGCTGACCCGCCCCTCGATCCCGGGCAACTCTCAGCCTGGCAAGTCCTGCACACCATTTCTCCAGGAGCGTGTGGGGCGGGGCCAAAATGCCCCTGCAGGAGGTCGGGACGGAGACGCGATTGGATTGGCTGCTCTGGGTGTGGTCACGCCCCCTGCCCCACCCCCCAACAGCTACCGCCCGCCTCCCGCCGGCTGCGATGAAAACCCGGAGGAGCTGCGCGCGCTCATCCGGTCCGGCTAGGGGCGCAGCCAGGCAGCTGGGCATGCTCAGTAGCGGGAGGAGATTTGGGTGGAGAGTAGAAAGCTTTGGCTCTGCCCCCACCTCCCGCTCCGGCCCCCGCCCCCCTCACCCCTACCAGCCGTAGTAGTTCCCAGCCAGCGCCGGAGCCCGGGAACATGGCGCTCAGAGTGATGTAGCGGCAAGGAGCAGAGACGAGGCTGCGCCGCCTCGCTGACAGCCGCGACCGGGTAGGCGGGTGCGTCCGGGACGCCTGGGTGGGAGCTGGCGCGAGGAGGGGCGATCGCAGGGTTGCGCACCGCTGGTACCCGAGGCATCCTGCTTTGCCGGGAGAGGATGCGCAGGGGACCTCTGTGACAACGGGATCGCGCATCTCCTAGGAGATGCCAAAGGCTAGGGACCCTCCACGGAGAGCCCCGAGATCGGAGGACCGCCCACCCCACCCCCCAAGGCTACCATCCTGCCTGGGCTCTTGCCGGTCAAATAAAGGATAGTTCTTTTCTGCTGGGCAGGAGGGCGTGGGAGAGGACCCTGATCCCAACCCTTGAGGGTGCGCTGGTACCCCCAAAGGCTGCAAGCCCAGCTTCAGTTCTTTGTGTATACGGCCCTGCAAGCCCGGCCGGGGGTGCCAAGTGCCAGCTTTTCCCAAGAAGTGTTGGAAATATTGCCAGGGGAGGATTCCCATATGGCTTTTGCCTTTTGGCAGGTGTGGACTGCAATTTGCAGTAGCCCAGCCTTTATAGGCTATTTTCCTTTGTTATTTGCTTCGATGTGTCTGTGCGTGTGGTGGGTTGTAATGGAGAGAAAGACAGAGAAGAACTTCTGCTTGTGGGCACTGGTGTGGGCAAAGCATGGAAAATGATCCTGGTTCCAAAACTCTTGTCAAAATTGTGTGCAATGTCAGCCTCCTGGAGGGTAAACTTGAAGAGTCTGGGGCTCCTCCGTGCTCAGTTTGGAGAAGTGGGATCATCCTTGAAACCCTGAGTGTGTGTGTGTGTGTGTGTGTGTGTGTGTGTGTGTGTGTGTGTGTCTGACGCTTTAAACACAGGAGGTGAATTAATTCACTAACTTGTATCCCAATTAAGGGAATTTGAAGCATTGGAGCTACTCGAGGTGTTTAAGAAGAGAGAGAGGGAGACAGGGAGAGAGGGAGAGAGGGAGAAAGGGAGAGAGGGAGAAGGAGAGAGAGAGGGAAAGAGAGGAAGAGAGGGAAGGAGAGAGAGGGAGAGAAAGAGGGAGAGAGAGAGACAGAGAGAGGGGGGGGATTGGCACAAAGCCAAAGGAAAATGTCATTGTTAATAGTTAGTGACAGCTGAGAAGACTGAATATACTTTGGGGGAAATGGGAAACCTGGCATTCCACAAGATTCTATGAAGAAATAGCCACAGGGTCTTAGGTAATTCACAGATTCTCAGTGTGTCCTTCTGCCTTCTGGGATTTGATGGTGTGTAGACACTTTCTGTTACCTGAGTCCAGATGGAGAGACTCTTTCTACAGAAGCCTCTCCTACCCTGGAATTCTACAAATTCGGCGTTTGATAATAACAGCTGTGCCACCTTACATTTGTATGTCTGTTATATTTGGCAGCACAACCCACTGAGTTAAAGAGAAAAGATAAATTTAGAACACACCTTTGCTTTTATTTTACGCTGTAAAGCATGGGCCTCTGTCTGTGAACACAAAGTTTAGAAATACTTTCCTCTGCACTTATACTACTTATTTTTATGATCTCGTTAGGTGGCAAGGATGAGTCAGTATCATCAAAATGAAATGGGGACTGCATGAGGAAAATGCATTCAGTAAATTAAAGCCATAAATGCCCAATTAGATGACAATACCTTGACTCAGAATTCATCTGTGCAAGGCACAGGCTCTGCTAATGGAGCAGGAGAAGTTGAGGGCAAGTTCACTGGCAGAATTGGCCTTAGAATTAAAATTTCGTGTTCCTCTGTGGAAGGGAAACACTCATTGTACTCATCCCTGTAACTTGTTATTTTTTTTAATAAGTGAGAGTTTCAGCTGCAGACATTGAAAACTCAGTAGCGCTGGTCCTTCCCTCACAGCTTGATGAAATGCTATTGGAGACAAAGAGCTCTGAGAAAAACTAAGTTTAAATTCTGGCTTTTTCACATTTAGCTTTATGAGCTCAGCCAGGCTACTTAACTTTCCCAAACCTTAGTTTCTTCACCTGTAAAACAGATTTTGGAATAGGAAGAGCTACCAAAATTGGTATTTGTGGAGGTTACTCATAATATAAACCACAAGGAAAATGATGGGGAACATTAAGAGAAGAAAGGAAATGTATGTTTATTGAACCCATATGATATGCCCCTCCGTCTACAAATCAGGTTCAGACATGTGGATTCATTTAAGCCTTCCCTATTGTTTTCATTTTTTAAGATTGCCATAACAAATTACCCAAAACTTGGTGGCTAAAACCAACAGGAATTTATTCCATTACAGTTCTGGAGGCTGGAAGTCCAAAATCAAGGTGCGGTGGAGCCATGCTTCCTCCAAAGCTTCTAGGAGAGAATCCTTTCTTGCCACTTTCAGACTCTGGAAGCCTTGGGCATTCCTTGGTTGTGATTATGTAACTCCAAACTTTACTTTCATATTCACATGCCATCTTGTCTGTGTGTCTGTGTTGGTGTCCAGATTCACCTCTTTGTATAAGAACACTCTTCATGTTGCATTTATTTCATACTCTAATTCAGTACGACTTCATCTTTCCAAATCGTGTGGTTTCTAGTCCGGCATGAGTTTTGAGGTGATGCTATTCAGCCCAGTATGCCAACATCTCTGATAATCACAATGTCAATATTATGTCAGTATAAGAACAAAAGGAAAAGATAGAATCACATGGGTTCAGAAAAGACTACTGGTTAGCTATGCAACTAACATCTTTGAGGCTTTATTCTTACCTGTGGTAGAGAAAGGCAGAGTAGATAATACCTAATTTATACATGCCACTTATGAAACCAAGGCAATCAAGGGTTTGGATCTTCTAGATATCTCAAATGTATCCTGTCCCAAATCTTTGGTGATGCTACCTTCTTCCTTTTTTGCTACCTTACAAACACAATGCAAATAAATAAATAATAAACATGTAATTTATAGAGTTTTTTTATTAAGGTTGAACCCACCTTGCACTAATCTATATCACCACTCTTTTTTTTTTCTTAATTTTGAGGCTGGGTCTTACTAAGTTGCCTAATTTGGGCTCAAACTTGAGATCCTCCTTCAGCCTCCCAGCCTGCTGGGATTATAAGTACAACCGACTCCATTCTATTTTTTTTTTTTTTGTATTTTTCTTTTCTTGGTTAGTGGTATCCCTGTGCACAGAGTAATTTTAGCTTGACACCCAAAGATCATCTTTGACACATCCATTCCCTTTTTTTCTGAATGCCCCAAACTACCACACAATCACAAATTTTGTCTTCTGTGCTCCCTTCAGCAGCACATATGCTAAATTCTGTCTTCTACTTCTGTCTCTAAATAGATCTTGATAGATTCTTCTTTCCATTCTTGCTACCACCACTGTCAAATTCAAATCATTATCACTTACCCAGACATTAAGTGTAACTTTCTAACAAGACTCTTAGCTCTTTGGTTGACTTTTCCAATCCTTCATCCCTATACCCGGGGCAGGGGCAGCTTCTAGAGACTCTCAAAGTCTCAGGAGTCTCACCTTAGGCATCTCTTCCTCTTGCTGCTGTCACAAAGGAGCTGCTCTAACATTCCAAATCCTTCTCCCTGTGTTTTTCCAATCCAATCTGTGCTTATCCTTTGGACTTTCCTGACGTCTATTACTCTCTCATCTTCTCTTTCCTTTTCTTCCATAGTATTTATCTCCTGTAACAATTTCTCATTCATTTGGCTGTTGCATGTTAAAAACTTCCATGATGGCAATTTATTTTGTGTCTCATAAGGACAAGATGCTCAACCAATGTTTGGTGAGGAAGGAATGAATATTCTGTTGCATAGCATTTTTCTATACCAATTTAACACTCTTACTTTTTAGAAGCTTTTTTTTAACTATCATAAAATGAGCAATTTAGAATCTCATTCTAACTAAAAGGAGAGTTCTGTTGGCTTTAACAAATCAATTTCTTAGAATTGGTTATAGATTCGCAGTCAAAAATTAAGTCAAACTATTGTGTGATAACTAAACTTTATAAAAAGGTATCAGTCAAAAATAATACACAATTATATGTTGCATAGATATTATTTGCCATGTTATATCCAAAGTAGACATTGATAATCTAGCTTTTAAGCTTCTGTATATACATAATAATAATCATACTATATGTATAACCCTGAATGAATGATGTGGTTAATTATTGAGCTTCTGTTATGTGCCAGGTTTTTTTTTCAGTCCTTGTCCACAATCATCACTATCGCTCCCTGACCTTTCCAATAACAAGTAACCTTACATTTATTAGGAGCATAATAAATATTTGATAAGTCAGCAATTGGTAATTACTATTACATTATTATGATTTTTTAAAATAATACACAAGAAAAGTGAAATCTTATCAGACATAGAAAAAAGTGCACATTTTTTTTCTGAAAATGCCTGAGAGAGCACTATTCTGTTTTTAAAAATACTCATGGTCAATGTCATTTGGGTCAAAGTAGAAGATAAATTGTTCTTTATAGGGCAACATATTCCTAAGGTGTTTTGTCAAAATTTTTGTTTTACTATTTCATTTGACTTATTTAATCCAAAGGTAAAGTAACAATGTCTCTTGGAAAGTCTTTCTGATAGTTTCGGATAGCAAGACAGTGTGCTTGGGGAAATTAATGTAGCTGAATACAGGAATGCATCTAATACTTTGGATTTCTAGAGTGGCTCCAATTTCATGTCATTTTATTATTCCCATGGAAAGTGATTTTTAAAAATAATACAACTTACTTAAGTACAGATTTTCATGTAAGTAACTGAAAATTATAGTGTTCCTTGATTTTGTTTAAAAATCATGAGTAAACTTTTGCATGAACTAAATCATAAAATAACTACAGAAAGATTGCAGTAAGGGGGTTGATTATAAAACACATAGTCAAGAGTCAGTGACTGCCTCAAATGCCAGCACTTTGCAACTAAAACCTAGAGTGGAAAATGATCCCATTTTTGAAATCACAAAAAATAAGAGTTACATATAGAAAAGAGGAAATGCCCATAAAATAACTGGGAATAGCAAGGGATATATAAGAACTTATGAAGAAAGCTATATAAGC